GAAATTCGCAACATCGGTACAGCCATAGAACTCGGCCTCCTTGAAGATGTTATATCAGGGTGCGAGCTATTTAGCACTCCCTGAGGTCGGCTCAGTAGCGAGGCGCTACTTGAGCGAAACTCCTCAGTGGGAGCGTACGAGGATCCGCGAATCATTGGTGTGCCTCTTCCCGTGAATCGGGGAACTCCTATGCGCCACGATGGTATCGTAATGTCAAGAAGAGGATCAGAAGTCGAATCGAAATCTTCCATAGTCCGAGGTCGGTATTCCTCCAATGGCTTCGAAATGACGATCTTGAAGGCCCCGGGTTCCGAATCTTTGGCGGCGGACACTTCGTGAACCGTGCTATCGGAAAGCGCGCGACGATGTTTCACGGGCCGGAGCGGATACTGAGAATCGTGATCGAAGTATGTTCGGGTACCGTCATAGGGTGAAGGTTCCGGTGTTGGCGTCCACTGACTAACGTGAAGTTCACTCGTCTCGTCTTGAAGCTGTTTATTTGAGATCGCATCCAAGCCTGCGGTACTGGGAGGTGTAATCGGAAAGACGAATTGGGGCTGAGGAGTTCGCTGGTACGCAGGGCGAACGGTCGGCCTGGAGAATGAGAGTCAGTCGTTTGTGGAACGCAGATGTCAAAAATACGAGCGAGCGTCGTGTTTCGTGCCAGCCACGTTGCTATCCCCAAGGCGACGGGTAGAAGGGATCACAATAAGAGCTCAGCTAAGACATCTCCCCACAAAGCGCAAGCAAAGACCGCAGAGTGAAGGGAGAGCGGGGATGTGGCTGGTAGTGACATTTTCCCAAGGGATGAGATAAATGAGGCACTAGAGGGAAACACGCGATATATCAACCCTTCACTTACCTCAAATATATGCGACCATTGTTCCCGACGTTGGCGACAGTGAATTGACGTCCTTCACGACCTGCCGATCCACCGTCTGGAGTAATCTCCCATCGAGACAGACTGCCCTGGTTATCTAGGCTGGAATCTGAGTCCTTGAGACTTCGGGTTGTGGGTTTCTTCTGGTGTATTCTTCGTTCTGAGAGGGGAACCAAGGGTTTCGCAACGATAGTCGTGGGCATGCGCGCGGTGTTGGTGGACCTAACAGAAGGCCACTTACTGGGTGTCGAGAAGCCAGGGCTGGTGTTTTCCTTTTTCTTGAGTGCTGCTACGGCAGCATTCACGTTGGGGGCTGCGACAGCGATAGCGCCTGAGCCGGAACGAGACCTGGACTGAACCGTTGATTTGGTTGACAACGGATCCTTGACAGTAGTTGCAGCAGCTGGAGGAGGTGATGGTATAGGGACTGGGACTGGGACTGGGGACGCTGCGCTGAGACCAGACGCTGGTGGCAGCGGGTCCGCGGGCGTCGAAGACTCCAGGGCCTCCATGGCACGGCAAGGCCGCTCGCAGGCGCGTTGCCTGTCGTCACGTCAGGAGAGGGCAGAGCTGACGGTGCTCAAAGCGATAGAGGAGCTGACAATCAAGGCATTGAGTTAGCAGCGATCGTTTCAGAGGCTGAGCAAGTCGGCGCGCATATCGTGGGTTTATGCTGGGGCGCGCGTGGTGGAGAGTGACGAGATGGAGATGGTAATGAATGGGGGGAAGGGAAAGAGAGAATAAAGGGAACGCGGCGAGTCCGAACTGGAGAAATGATTGATATGAAGAAAGTGAGAATTAGTTGGCTTGTGCCCATCCCACCATCAACAACATTAGATTGCCATGTTATGCTAGTCCAGTTCAAGTGTGCGTGTTGTGCACTGTAAATTAATTACCAGTAACCAGACCAACCTGAGGCCTGGCGAGACCGACAAGCATGGAATACCTTGTCGAGTTTCGAACATTGGGTAGACAAACCTTGAAAAGGGTGGATCTGATGTCATAAAGTAACAATAAAACAAAACTTACATGATAAAGCCATAAAGCAAAAAGAGACTCGACTCGATTCTAGGGGAGAGTTGTCGTTGTTGTCGTTGCCATTCGAGTACCGGACACTTTCAATGATCGTCGGAGCGAGACAGTTCAGCTCAGCCAGAGACAGAGGGGTCGTCGTGACTGTTTGTAAAGAGAGAGAGAGAGGATCGAAATAAGACGTGTAACTTTGGTTAGTGAATAACGGGCACACGATACAGTACAACAACAATAGACCCTTGTCAAAGCCCTTTTGTCTCTCTCACACACTCGTTCAAAAAAGCAAAGAGAAGGGGAAGGGAAAGAAGAAAAGAGATCCTTTTTTTCTCAAGAGGCGGCAATTGGGGGAAACTCAAAAACCTCTCTCAGAGGCCAGACAAGACGAGACAAGAGAGAGGGCGGACGGGAGATGGGCCTTGAATGGCGCGGGCTGGACCTGGACTTGGGTTGGCACATGGGATAGGATGGGATGGGATAGAGGAGGGTGTGGGGCTGGCATTAGTCTAGCACTTAAGAATAGCAGTAATTGATTCAGGTCATCTTGTAGCTGTACTACAAATCTCGGTGAGAATACAGTCGGGCTGAAGGTAGAGATACTTTCACCCGCTGTATTCCTCTCTGAGCCGAACCCAGTGGAAGGGTTGCTGGTGGGTTAGTCCAGCTGTCTCCCGTCTTTCAAAGTCGACTTCACAAGCCTGATTGGCGATTCCAGCTTCAGCTAACTTGACACGAACGGTTTGCCTCAAGCTAAACAGAAGCAGGGAGTCATGAACAGCAATTCGTATCTGTCTCTATGTCTCCTCTCATCATTATCATCACAAGATGAGGTCTTCTTACTGTATGTACTTGAGCAAAAAGCAAAGAGCAGGGTATGTCCATGCCGTTGGTTACCACGCTTCCTCTTCACAAGCCTCAATCGGCACACAAAAGTATCGAGTACCCGCCGTTCATCCCTCAACGGCTCAACAGCTCGGCCCGTGTCGCATACAAAAGATCCCCTGCAAACCCCTGCCATTTGCATATTGCAAGGTACTCTGTACCTGCACTCTGCCATGCTTTGACGTTGCAGCCAGAACACCGGCCAAAAGTACCTGCTACCTACCACGGGCACGCTCGAGTCAATCAATATTCGTACAGATTTTCCCTCCTTTGGGCGGCGGAGCTAAGGTAGGAGGAGTTGTTAGAGTTAATGCCCAGTTTTGTCGATCAGAGGGGAAATCTTGGGTATCAATTCTGATAGAGTTTTTGCTCTTGCAAATCTGATCGGAACGTTCCATGAGGGGATTTCCTTGCAGGCGTTGATTGAGTGAAGGGACGGGACGGGGACTGTACGATAATTACTGCACTGTGACTACAGGCGGGGGTTGAGAGCGAAATCGTTCCAGAAAGAGAATCCCATGACCGAGGATGCAGCGCAGCTAATGCATCATGCATGAGCCCATCACGTTTTCCTGCTCTTGGCGTTAATCCGTGTTTTTTTCTTTTCTCATCACAGTCAATCACTATTCTTCTCTCCTCTGTTTCCCTCCATCTTGAAACCGGCAACATTTGAGCATCAGTCCATTCCTCTCTCTCCCGCGATCTTCCCCTACACGTGCCATGCATCCATGACAAGGCATGAGATCCTCCGAAATCAGACCAAGCCAAAAAGCCTAGGCCGAACTTTAAGCTCTGATTCGACACCAACTGCTTGGGTGCCCGGGGAAGCATCCGTGGGTCTTTTCCTGTCTCGGTAGTCTAGGTTCAGGTCTCGGTCTAGGTGCCTAGGGTCTAGGGTACAGAATTCCAACGAGGTCGAGGGCAATGTCGAGTTTGGGATGCAGAGAATCAAATTGTCTTGGAGTTGATGTGATGTGATTGATTCTGCAGCCTTATCAAGGTCTCACTCAACTCCTCACGCAACCCTTTGTCTTACTTGAAGGACCCGCATCTCGGTAGAAGGTGCATGTTGTGGTTTGTAAATATGCAGTGCTACGATGAATCGCCTCGCATGAGGCTACCTAGTTCGCCGAATAGAACAAATCGCCGATGCTATTTACAGTATGTAACATTTTACAATCCGACATCCACACGCCAAAGAGCCATTCGTCACGATATCGTCTTCAGCATCAACATCAGCAAATAAATAAATACGCGACAGTTAAGGAATCCATATACCTGCATGCTCACTAGCACAAAGAGCCTCCAATGACCACTCTTGACTCGGCAAACATGCGGTGTACCCGTCCCCTCAACCACTAAATCTCCATCACCACGAGTCAGTCGAAGCCTCAATACCTACCAACCATCTGTCTTGCCGCGGGGTTCCCGTCCAACACCACGCATACAATCCTCTCTTTAAGCACCTATCGACACATTCTTTCTCGCCTCCGCTGCCCCGGCCGAGTCAAGATCTGGAAAGTCGTTCGTAAGTACGGATACGTACACTGTAGTTTAAGGCCCGCGCCGATTCCGATGAACCGCTCCGCCCAAACCCAGCCACATTTTCTTGTTTTGAACTGGTTCATGCTGCTTCTGCGGAATGCGGCATGATTATCGCTACTTGGCGAGTGGGCGCGTATCCATTCTCGCGTGCGTGCTTCAAGGTTCCCATGTTCACGTATTGCCTTTCAATGATCATCAGCCGCTTGAAGCGATGGCCATGTGATCGGCCATGTAACATCGCCAACGAGCTACCCTACTGCTTGCAGTAGACTCTTCGAGTTATCGAGTGTTGCTGGGCAATAAACAATCCACTTGTGATAGCAGCATGGTTTGAGGGTGTAGAACTGAGCATAAACTGGATAGATTTAGGGTGGATTGACCAAATTCATCAAATAGGTATTGAGAACAAGTCTAGGATTTATCTAAATTTATAGATCTTTATGATAACTTTAGGATGACTTTAGGACAACTTTAGGATGAGTTAGCTAAATCCATCAAATCTTTGACCAAGTATAGGATTAGTTGACTCAACTTACCAAATCTTTAGAATACCTAGGTAGTCAATACTTTATCTCTTCTTTATCAAGAGTCTTCAAGCCTTATACTAAACTTGATGAATTTGAAGTAATAATTTCATAGGTCTAGTCTAATATTGTTACCTCTTCTACCGAATCCGTTGGCTCTGTATCCTCTTCACCACCGAGCTCGAGAATTTATTGACAAAGAGATCACTGTCTTCGCTCATCTCAGCCTCCGCGATGAATTCCATGATTGGCTTAATGCCGACACCAACTTGGTCCCCTCCAGCATGCTCATAGATACGAGCGAGGGTTTGGTCGGCGCTTCCAGCCGCAACGCCGCCCCTTGATTGCAGGACTGTCTTCAATTCACGGAGGCTCGATACTGTAGGCACGTAAACATCCCGCGAGAAGTCCTTGGATAGCTCGAGCTCCTCGAGAATACTGAGTTTAGAAGTCGTTGCAAAGATAAGGAGGCGGTGGCCCTGCGTTTCTGTTAGCTAAAGTTACTGCCATGTCAGTAAATTGCTTACCTGAACAGCGTCTTTGGCGACCAAAGCAGATATTGTATTGGCTATTGTTGCCGAGAATCGAGGCCCGATGGGGTTCCATCCAATCAGCTTTTCGATGCTGTCCAAGATCAGAAGACTGACGGCCGATTTCTGCGCATCGTTGAAGGTCTTCGTGATAAACTCCGACTTGGCTATGTCATCGCGATACTCGAGAAGCTTGTGGGGCGTGATGATCCGGATGAAAGGGATGTCTGAAAGCTTTGCGATGTGTGCAGCGAGGGCTGTTTTGCCGCTACCCTGCGCGCCGTGAAAAATGATCGAGGATTTGTGATGTTTAGGATGCTCCTGGACCATGTGAGAAACACCAAGCACGTCGTTCAATATGTTTTGGATGTCAGGCGAATAATGGATAATCTCAGAATGGAGAACCGCCTCCAAATCCGTATCGGAGGCACCGTATGCTGGCCGGACCTCACTGAGAGCCAGTAGGAAATCGCTCCACTTGACTTTCATGTGCTCGATATCCTTTGTAACAGTGATCTGGTTGGCATCAGTGTGGCGAGAGAATGCACTGGCTGCCGCTGCCTTGACCAGACCAGCAATTTCAGCACCAGAGTAATTCTTGGTAAGGCGAGCAAGCTCAGCCAAGTCGACATCGTGGTCCAAGATGTCGTTCTTGACAAATTTGGAGGTGTGAATCTTGATGATACCAAATCGACCCTCTTCATCAGGCAGAGAGATCTCTAGCTGGACTTCTAGACGACCAGGTCGTAGCAGAGCCTCATCGATCATGTCCTTTCGATTGGTCATGCCGATCAAAAGGATATTGTTAAGTTTGTCCACACCATCGAGCTTGGCAAGGAGCTGGTTGACAACAGTATCACCAACGCCTGTGCCGCCACCAGATCCGGAACCTCGCTGCTTACAAACAGCATCAAGCTCGTCAAAGATGATGATGTGAAGGCCACTCTCGTCTCCCTTTTGCTTATACTCCTTCTCTGCATCTGCAAATAACTTTCTGATGTTCTCCTCGGACTGACCCACAAACTTGTTTAGCACTTCGGGACCGTTGACGATCTTAGGTTCGTGAGCGTTTAGAGTTTTGCCCAACTGTCGGGCAATCAGGGTTTTACCCGTTCCTGGGGGACCATAAAGTAGAAGTCCCTTGACGTGATCAATGCCCATCTTGGCGACTATACCAGGAGGGAAAATACGAGACGCAAAAACACGGCGGAAAATGGTGGAAATCTGAGTGTCCAAACCACCAATTCCAAGATCATCAAACTTGAAACTGGGAGCGAAGATGGCGCTGGCGTTGGGCTTGTTCACCGAAGGTTTGAGTTTGAAGCCATCTCCTGTTTTGGCGTGGAAGAACACCTTGCTCTGGGGAATCAGGATACCTCTAGCATTGGGGTCCTGGTTCTTCTGTTCCGCTTCTGAAGACGTGTCCAACCCCGTGAGAACCACGGACTCGACAATGACGAGAAGTGGAATGTTGCGGTGGTCCATAAGCATGCGCTGCCCAGGAGCAAGCACTTGGTTCTGGTACGAGTCAATGAAGAGCTTGGAGAGCTCATCCTCATCGTAGGGAACGTCTGTCTTCTTGCTTTGGGTTCTGAAAGTGATCGAAAGTTCGACAGTGCCAAGGTATGCATCGGAACGAGCGCTGAATGGATTGTAGATCTCGCCGATGAATTCGTCCCTCATGGTGATGCCGGCCCATGTTCGCTGGGCGTCGGTGAGACTGATACCGCCTCTCGGGAAGCCTGGAATGGGCGTGGCAGTGACGACGTATTCGCCAACAGGTTGGCCGCCACGGATGAGGATGTGATGATCAGAGCCATCTCGGTTGGGAGGGAAGTCTTCGGGGGACACGGCGCATCTTCCTAGTTATGAGCTTCGTCGTCCTTTTACCGTTGCAAAGAATAAGCTTACTTGTTGTTGTAAACGAATCTGGTTCTGAGAGTCTTATCTTCGATGGTCTCGACATGCAGCCGCGCTGCCCGAGGCGGAGCTCCCTGTTGCCCTGGATGAGGGCGAAATGGACGATTCATAGCTAGTAGGAGATCGAAGCGGTGGTGGTGATGCTGAAAGACGGAAGGGCCAAATCTGGACAAGCGATGTGTTGTCACAACCCTCGATGCAGGGGAAGCTACCCACCTTTAAGTAAGTCGAGTCCCCTAAGGACAGTTTTAGGTGGCGATCGCAGCTCAATGGCGGGGTCCCGTCCTGCCTGTGACACAGCCTCCGTCACAGGCGGGTGTCAGCCCAGTGGAAGGTGACGACACGGCCCCCACTAAGGTGATGAAGGCTACCTAAAGTGACCTAAACTTGGGGAAGGGTCCTCAAAGAAGGTCTAAAGTAAAAATTCCTTGGCCAAACCTTTCCTTTCATTATCCTGATATCGTTAACATGCCACTGTAAGTACATATTGTTCAAGTACCTTACCAATTGCCACGTCAGCTAACTCTCTGTAGCCACTTACTAGGAAAGAAGTCGTGGAACGTGTACAATGCCGACAACATCGCCCGTGTTCGTCGCGATGAAGCCGCCGCAAAGGCCGCCGAAGAAGCTGAGGAGCAGCGCATGCAAGAGATAGATGCACAGCGGCGCCTAGCTATTCTTCGAGGCGAAGTACCACCGCCTATCGAAGACGATGAACCACCAAAAGACGAGGAGCCTCCCGTTCGTGATCGCGATGCGTTGCAAAGGACGAGTACGCGACGGAAACGAAAACTGCCAGGCGAGGACGATACCGATTTTGAGATGCGAATAGCAAGGGAAAATGAAAACACGGCTCTTGTTAGAATAGAGCCTGAGAAGAAGAGCACAAGTTCTGCGCCCCTTGTGGATCGCAATGGGCATATTGATCTTCTAGGCGATGAAAAGTCCAGAGCTCATGCTGAGAAGAATGAAGAGGCTGAAAAGGAAGCCAAGAAGAAAAAGCAGAGCTACGAGGACCAGTACACAATGCGCTTCTCGAATGCTCCAGGAAAGGATGGCGTTCTTAAACCATGGTACTCTCAATCTGATGCTGCAGCTCCTGATGCTTCGTCAAAGGACGTATGGGGAAACCAGGACCCTAATCGCAAAGAACGAGATGCCAAGCGCATAGTATCTAACGACCCTCTCGCTATGATGAAAAAGGGAGCATCCAAAGTTCGAGAGATCAAACAAGAGAGGAAACGTTTCCAGGAAGAAAGAGAAGAAGAGCTGAAGCAGATGCGCCGAGATGAGCGACATCGTGAGAAACGGCGAAGAAGGCATCACGAAAGGGATAGGAGTAGGGAGCGACATAAGAGTCGCGATCGTGATGAGGAGAGGTCTCCCATTCGGAATGGGCGGAGACACAGATCAAGAGAAGGAAGACATAGCCATAGTGGTCATTCTGATTCACGAAGTCGAAGACATGAGCGTCGTGATAGAGAAGGGTCGCGGCATGAGAGAAAGCGCTACGAGGAGAGTGAAGAACGAAAAGAGAGAGGTCGGGAGGATGATGAGTCTCATAAGAGAGACTCGCGATCTTCAGGGGGGGTTGGCCATGAGCGACGACGACACCATTCGAGAAATTAATAGCTTAGCATAAGATACCCATTCAATGACACGACTTATACCGTTTGATATCTTCATACCCGATCTGACTGCCTTCTAGCTAAGGGAAAACAAACTCTCACACGAAGACTCTATGCCCATGTGATGGACGCTGTGAATCTGACCTAGCATCATGACTACGGTCGTGACGCCATGTTTATGATGATGACTTGTTGTAAATAGTTTACTGGAGGTCCTGAGGTTGTGGCCAGACCGCGTAGTGAAAGGTTCATCTGAAAGGACGGCTATGATGCAAGAACGTCTACGTAATACCTTGGTAAAGAACCCACCAGACTGCTCACAGCTGTCTATCTCGATGCTTTAGTTGGGGACTTTAGAAGAAAAAGTCCGCAGAGCTCACATGATGTTGCAAAGATGGTGTAATTCTGAGATCTGTACACATCAATTAGGCAGCATCTCTATGGCAAGTGATAGGGTATATTACATCAAAATACTAAAAAGTCAAACTAAGAAGCTCGTCCAAACACGTCGCCTACTCATTGCTCCCCTCAACCCACGGCAGCCTGATCTCAACGGGCTGCATGTGAGCCTCAACCATCTCAGGCACCTTCTTCGTCTCCAATCCCTTCAAAGCCTCTCTGATCCTCACATACGTCTCCTCACTCAGCCCCTCCTTGCGATCACAGTAGATATCAACACCCTCCTTCGTAAACACCGTAGGTGCAAACCACGTAACAGCCCATCTCTCCTTGACGCCCTCTGAAGTGACGGCCTCGCCCCAGCCCAGTAGCTCCCAGTGCGAGTTGACAAAGACAAGCCATCCTTTGCCCCGCCAGTCCCAGCCGATAGACGAAGCTTGTGTGTCGGTGCCCTGGACCGTCTTGAGCGTTCCGTCCTTAGAGAGTGGCTCGTACTCAACGAGGTCGTCGAGACGGGGTCGGCCATCTGCGGTTCCGGGGAGGAGCTTGTATGTGATGCGGACGTTGCGGGCATCGCGCCACATGCTCAGGGTCGAGTGCGTGACGCTCCATGTTGTGGTGAGCCAGTCGAGCGTGGGAGGGTCCACGGGAGGTGAGTTCTTGGTAGCTGGGGCATATTTGGTTGGGGGGTTGAGCTTGATGGGCTTTGGATCGGCCATGGTGCAGTGTAGTAGTAGTGTAGATTCAATGACGTGTGTTGCAGTTGACAAAAAGAAGCAACGAAAATGTTAGTTTAGATGGGATGAAACTAGGTCGGGTAAGGATGAGTATATTAGACTACTTTTGTGAGAAGAACAGATGGATTCACATGGGAAAAAAACTTGCAATTGCAAGGTTGCTTGATAATGAGATGGCATGCTTGGTACCTAATTTCTTCACAAGCAAGAAATGAAACACGCCAGGCTTCGGGTGGCCGCAGATCTGTTACACAAACACCAGGGAAAAGACAGCGTAATTCGTCGACTTTCGCTAAATTTTCCGACTGCATAACTTATCCTAGCCTATTTGTTTCTAATTAAGCCTCGTCTCGGCTTTTTGATTATCAGTCTGATGTCACTGATATTTCGTTTTCTCTCTAAAACATTGGCTCCAGCTTCAAGGCATGAAAAGTATTGCGCCATAGTCTGGTATGTCTGTATCAACAATTTGTTCTGGTCCGCAAAACAAGGAGCCACGATTTATGCCATGATCATAATTCTGTTCTGAACATATTTTCTAATCCTTGTTGTTTCTACATGCCGACAGATGCCCAGACGGGATGACGGACGGAAAGGCCCAAGAGTCAAGCCACAATCGCTGCCCAACAGCCACAACTCCACAGTCAGCCTCAACCCCAGATTCCATTTGCACCAGACACACATCATTCTTTCCAACGTCTCACTTGGCTCACTTCACTCATTAATCTCCTCATCTCACTCATTAAAGGGGTGTCTCTCACTGCCTGCCTCACTGTTCAAGTGAACCACACTCAGCCACATTCCTTCTCACACTTGCAAGATGGACCCCACAGAAAACGACGTGGAAGTCTCTGATGACGACCTCATGGCTCAGATGGGCTTCTCATCCTTCGGCGCTGCATCACCACCTTCCAAGCGCCGTCGATACAATCCAAATGCAGATGCTCTGCTGCCGTCCAAGTCATCTGCTACCGGCGCCAACTCTACAGCTCTAGGAACCGGCTCAAACAAAGATGAGATTTCACTGGACGACGACCATAACGAAGGAGATGCCAATCCAGAACAGAAAGTGCCAGCGCAAGCGCGCCCGGCTAGCCTACCCCAGAGACCTGCTCCGGCGCAAGCCACACCTCAAGGCCAGCACCCAGGCGCACATGGGGCCAGGGGTAACAAGTTCACCGGATACTACGACCGCCTGTCCAACGAGAACCCCTGGGAAAAGATCGAGAAGGCCCGGGGCTTGACGACAAGGGGAACGTGGATCACTCCAAATGCTGGGAACGCTGCGACCACAGGTGATGCTCCTGCCTGAAGCCTTGACACCAACGGACAACTGCCAATGCACATGTATTATACGACCTGGACGTTATTAAAAGGGAAGCCTCGTCAGCATGGACCACACCGGGAAGCGGTCGATGTAGTGCTGCATGGTTATGGCTCATACTTTGGCCAGAGGCAGATTTTGATGTCAAATATCGTGTCACGTGCCACGTCATGTGACATATGCGACAGGGGTCTCAACAACCTTCGAGTACCATTACGACGGGCTTTCAACTCACTACGCCAATATGCCTCATATCACATGCCTGTCCTTACTCAGACTGGCTCGCCGATGGTCTGGAGGGGCGTGGGGAGCACGTCAATCACATCTACGGGGGGGTTATCACATCAATTAGTCCCAGGGCTATGCCTTCAGTGAAAGAGGGGAAACGAGATATTGCTTGCTATGAGACTCCATACTCCAGTCGAGATATCCACAAAGAAAACCTTCTTACAGGTCCTGGCTCCTCCCAAGATGGTCCCGTCAGGTCTCCAGGCTCGCCGCGTTACCCAATGGAGCGATCTCAACGTCGCTGCCTCCCCTGATTGGCGCAAGCGTCTGAAATACACTGCTTTGCGAGTCTGCTACTTTTCTCCATCCTGTCATCTTCTCGTTCCAGTGCTTTCCAAGGTTTCTCACTCAGTACACCCCCCTCGGCAAATGCCACGAGCAGAACGTCCTTGCAGCCCTCGGCTGCTCCCGTGTCACCCATACCCAGAGAGGTTTCCAAGCACGTCTTCCATGCAGCAATCGGTTCCGACACATCATGTCTTGCTGCAAACCCGCTGACGCTATCCCTGGCACCCCACAGAAGCTGGGGAGGAGGTGTACTTTTAACAAACACCCCTAGATCGTTCAGTTCATCCAATCATAAGCCATAAGTCGTGAAAAAGCCGCCCATCTTCACCCTCTTCGCGTGTTTTCCCCCACACCTGCCCCAGAAGCCACGAGGCTGGTGTTCCTGGCTAGGAAGTGCCCACCCACCTGCCCTGTCGTTCTGCGTAAAAGCAGCAAGACACTGCGCGCCAGGCGGCTCAATTGCCGCGCTTAGTGCCCCTGATTTCAACGTCACCTCATGCTCCCCTTGCATGAACTACTCGTTCATGCAGGTCGTGGTGAGGGTGGCATGACAAGCGTGAAATACTCGCTAAATACAAAAAACAATTAATCTGGAAATCCGGGAATCTGATATCGTGTGTTCCTGCATTTTGCAGTGAAACTATGTGCGCAAGTAGGAAATTTTGGTGAATCGCAAGTGGCCGAAAGTTGCTCGCTAAGTAAATTTTTGGTCGAAAAAGTTGAAGATGCCGCTCCAAAGAAGGACCCAAAGAATCATCTAGTTCTCAGGGGATGGAAATCGGGCGCGGGCCTTGCTGTACTCTTTGCCATGCTTGCGAGAAGCTTTGGTCTTCAACGAGCTACGATAGTCGGTTAGTCTCAATTCACTCCTCTTTGACTCTGCGATTTGAGCCGCGCATGAAAAACTGCAGTTGAGTTTGACATACGGCGCAAAAAAAATCGCAAAAGTTTGTTCGACTTACCCAACTTTCTTTTGTGTCCATTCAAGATCGCTGCGCACCTCATGGGCGTCTCGCATACCCTCCTGGAAGCGCTCACGAGTCTTCGCAAGACGAGCCTGAGCCTTCTTCTGAAGCTCCATAAGCTCGCGGTGCTTGGCATTCATTTTACCAGATCTACCCACAAAATCGAGTCAGTATACATCCTGGCCAAATGAAAGTATGAAAGCTTGCCGCTAAAGGCAAGCTTGTGTAAACTTTGCAAATATCGGCGAACAAAGATAGTCTGCTCGCGTTTGTGGGAATCGGATGGGAGATCCACTTACGTCTGAGCTTGCATGGCCATACTGCGGTCAAGGGGGGTTGGGTCAAAAGAGTTGGCAAAGCGGTCTTGCATGTACTCCTGGAAGTCAACGCCGCTAGCAGAGCGAGTGCTTTCATATTCGGCGTACCCGCCAGAATATTGGTACCCGGACGAGGTAGCCGAGTATCCACCATTGCTGTAGGAGGGGATGCCCGAGGCGGAGCTAACCGAGTCATCACATTCCGGAGGCGAGACGGAATACTGGCTGTAGGTGGGGTATTGGGAGCCCTTGGAGGGAACGGGAAGAGGCATGGAGTAGCCCGCAGGAGTGTAGTGAGAAGACATGATGATTATTTGACAGAGAAGAAGATGTGTTTATGCCAATTGAATATTTTGACAAGTGATCCGAGTGATTGTTCAAGGTTGACTAGGCTGAGGACAAGTGAAGCTCAGTTGAGGTATGAGAGTCTTGTATCAAGACAACAAGTCAAGGAGACTGTGTATAAGTGCTGGGCAAAGTGGGACTTCAAGTCAGGAGCTGGTTGAAGAGTGATGAGAAAGGAAGAAGAAGAAGAAAGCTTCAACAGCATCAACTCTGGCCTTTTTATACTTTTCTCAGGAACCTTGATCGGCCAAACCGGAAGAACTTCAGGATAACTCATCTTGACACCATTCGTCGACGAAGGACGAGTAACCCCGCCCATGAGGGCGTGTCATAGGATATGACAGGACGATGGCATGGTCCTGAGGGTGATGAGAGGCTAGACGAGACGATCACGACGAGATGCACAGGTGTGGGCCATCACGGACGGCAACGATATGACCAGGTAACAAAACTTCAAGACTAGGACTACTAGGAGGGTGACTAGGGAGGCTAGAAGCGGCAAAGAGCCTTGGAAGGGTAATGAAATGTTAGAGAACTATCCGAGATGTACTGCCGTTTGACATCCGAGCCAACGAAAGAGAACAGTAATGGAGCATGCTCAAGATAGGGCTTTTGGGGGAGGGTGAGTATAGAGAAAGACCAATCTTTGAATAAGGCGTAACCTAAAGGAAGAGTGGCTTTAAGATACTTCAAGGGCAATGCTTTGACAAATGCAGTGACGTTGAAATTGTAAACGCCTGTGAGCTACGCCGTTGGCTGCGTGTAACAAGACCAGCCTAGGATGAGCATGGGCATGTGCATATGCCGAGAGTAAAGACTGCAATCTCAGATGTCAGATGTAACAATTAAGAGAGTAAAAAATGGAGACCGCTTTGGGCCCAAAACGATATTTACCGGGCAAGTTTAGGGAAGAGACTGGGGAGATGTGCTTGATAGGGCAATGGATATGTGTCAAATATGGCGCCGGGCAGAACATGACGATACCATGTGCTAGCGGGCAATTAATAAAAAGAGAGAAAAATGCGTCTGTGTGCCAGAGCGGAGACCGAGAGAAGACCCGACTTGGAAGGGACCGACCCAGACCGTATGGTACAGCAGGAGAAGTGCAAGAGAAAGCAAGATGCTGGTAAGATGCCATGCATATCCGGGTCCATCAACAGACACAAGTGGCTGCACTAGCCCTTGGGTCCAAACGTTGAGAAAGGATAAGGACCATGTGTAGAATTTTGTCTTGGGGGCAAAAGTTTTCCCACCGATATTTCTTGTCTGGAGCAATTAACTAGAGACTGACAGTGTTAGTCGTCTGAGCGTCACGGGCTTGGTCGTTGAGAAGCGGAGGAGGCAAGTCGAGGCCAGGCTTGGATTGGGCTCTTGGTCCAGTGACGTGAGGGACATAGCCGATGTAAACTGGGCTGGCATGCTGCTTTTTGGTGATAGCTAGTTATGGACTGAAAGCAGGTAAATGGATCGCAGGTAAGAAAGGACCAAACGGACAGCGCAACGAACGACCTAATCAACGCTGACTGGTCGGAGAGCTGACTAGATGGACCTAGGCAAGTAAAGTAGACACCAATGCCCACACCCTCACAAAGGCATATCTGTACCATACAGAGTACATCTCAATCGGCCGGGTTCCGGTACCGTTTGGAGTAGCGGGTAACATTGGTGGTGGGTGTCTGAAGAAAAAAGACATTGGTTGCCTCACCGTGTAAATGGGTATTCGTGAGAGATCACCAACCGCCTGTTAGAACCTTGGCATTCCATCTTCAGGTCCAGTACAAGCGCTCTGGGCAAGGAAATAGCAAGACATCTGCGCGGAGGAGCGGATACTGGAGAATGCAGACTGCTGAATGTATCCGCAGTGTAATTTTGGGATGCATTAGGACTGCATCTTGTTCCTTGCTGCAGGGGAGTAGGCAGGAGCATGGAGAATGGAGACGGAGGCGGAGAGAGTTGCAAACAAGCGCGCTGACGCTAAGCAAAGCCAAAAGACGAAGTTGATGGAAAAGCAGCCTTGGATTTTCATTTTCCCTCTAAAGCACCAAACACATTCTCGCCCACACCCCCCTCCAATTGCATCTCGTTCGCTGGCGGCGTTTTAACCAAAAAGCCCAGACATGTCTGTCGAGGCAGAAGGAAGAGGTAATGATCAAGATAGTCCTTGCAATGTCTGACCGAGGATTGGCTCTCAACGTCGGTTGACAGGGTGTGAATTGAGAAGCGAACGCAAGGCGGCGGGTCGGGTAGAGGTGCATCAAGTCGGGCAATTTCTGGCATTTCTCTGTCCTGTAACTGTCTGTACCTTTACAGCAGAGCACAGGAGGTAAGGTAAGGTAATGTGATGTAGTGATGCGTTGTCAAAACGATTACCAGACGTTGCTGTGGCGGTGGGTTTGATGATATGCAATTGTATGGTTAGGTTGTATTGTATGGGTGAAAGACACAGACAAGACAAGGTCCGGTATTGAATTCCAGGGACCCGATCGAGGGGTCACCTCAATCGACAGGTGTCTCTGACACCTTCTCTACAAAGATGGTGTGCCATTTGCAGGAGCTTTTCTGTCCGGCAGGTGCGTGCAATACCTTAGGTTACCTTACGTAGTGGAAGCTCTTAAGAAAGGAAGGAGGAAGGATCCATCCATGAGATGAGCTGGACGCATCAAGTTGGTGGGATGGTGGGGGAAGGAAAGTGCGTGCGTGCGTAACGTACATTCTCACGTCCCATTGATGATGACAGCCATTTCGTTTCGTTTCTGTTGGATTTGCTTTTTCCTTTGCTTGATTCAATCTTGGATGTTCCACGTGCCATGTCAATTTTTCTATCACAATCACGCAGAGCCTCATTGACCATATCTGAGATATCTTTTATTGATAGAACTCAATTGAGCTCGTCTTGAAGCATTTGACGGGCCATGTAACACCGAGAACCCATTGCCTTGATACAACTCCAAGGATCCACTATCACGACTTCAACACGACTTTTGAGATGCTTCATGTTCAGATTCTTGAGCTTTCGGCTTCACCACCCTCGATCTGTTCAACCTTTTGTCCAACGCAATTCCATTGGCGAAAAGAATCGGTCAAATTCTGTCAACAATTGATTGGATAATGCTTGGACGATTGCAGCATGATTGCATCCATTGCAATGGATCTTTTCAGTACATACGGCATTTCTTCCTTATTTTCTCGCCCCTCCCCCGCTTGCTACTACCGACCAGTTACCACAAGGTACACCGCAAGATCCACCATCCACCATCTTTATCTAGTTGGTGAGCATTGGCACAGTTAGCTCAGACTATCTGTGACAGGGTACATGCTTGGACGTTTGTCCTAGATGGACTTTTAGCTTGTGAGTTTTGTTTGACGAATCTTGAAGGGAACCCGCGAAGGGGATGATTTAATCGTTGCGTCTGAGCCGATATGGTTCAACCAAGACCATCGTAGAGACCAATATGGATGGAATACGAGACGAAATGAAATGCCCAATCCATATCTTTGGCGTGTCCAGAGTCTTCGCAAGGCCAATATCGACTTGGAAAGATGCTCTCTTGAACTTCCACATATGTCCCATGGTAGCCTGAGCCGTGAGGGAAACGACCAGCCACATGAGCACTCGACAATGGGGAACATCTATCACTGATCATATCAATACATTCTTTATCCGGCTTAAGTCCCCTACACTCTGCATATGCTGCGCAGCCGGACCGACGCTCGTTGTAGGAGGTCCCTGACAAACCCGGCCTGTCAACCGACAGCTACGAATGGAGACGTTGCCCCGGTTATGCGCAGATTCTGGGCTGCAGCTCTCCTGTATGGTGACAGTTCTGGGGTCTGCGACAACGGCGCCCCTTTGACGTCGCCATCATGAGCCACTGTGACACGTCTTCAACGGTTCCTGTCGCTACCCGCCACTCAGAAACTCAAGTCGTCACTCAACTCTCTCAAGAGCTGTCACGGTTCATGCACATCCGATACGGGTAGTTGCTTTGTTCGAAATTCGTTGTGACTTTCTCTCTTGTCTCACTGTTACTGCGTCCCCGGAGCTGGGATGTCCTTGAGCGACGTCCGATCAGCGTCGGCATCAAACGAGGGCTATCCTGGCTCACCCACCTCGCGATCTTGTTAGTTGCGCATCACTTGCGATGATCGTGTTCTGGTACGTCTTGAATGGCAAGCCCTACCACGAAATCCGAGGGCCTATCACCCAGGTGGCATGACTTGCGAGCCCTGCGTTGCGAGCTGTGCGTCAGATTTAGTTCAAGCTGCTGTGCTTCAATCATTCAGTCTCCAGGAGATCATGGAGTCGACTGATCTTCCCGCCTCACATTGATCGATTTGAGGCCATGAAAGCAAGATGAACCGGTGGATGATGACCTGGAACCGAATACTGACGCGAGATTCGTCGAGATTGGACAGAGATGAAAGATGACTGACTTGTATCTCCACAAGAAGCCAGGTGCCTTTGTTTTGCAGTGCATTGCATTTGCATTGCATGACAAGGCGGGTGTCGTCCTCCAACAGCGCATCCGCTTGCCCACTCACAAAAGCCATCAGGACTTGACTCGGACCTCTGGTTCGTTCCGTGTCATAAACTATTCGGTGAAAGACGAACAAGTTGCGTGAAGGCACAATCCTGACTGCAACATGACTATCCAAGCGTACATATCTCGGAATGCTGCAAATAGTACGTACTTATCATCTACACGCCTCCCCTGCCATGATACCCTCCATCACGCACGGACAACTCAGCGCCGTTGCGTGCGGCAAGGCGTGGCCCAGGCACACGGAGGGGAAGATGCAACTTCGTGCAGGGGGGTTCGATGATGGGGCACCGTCTAATAGGACGACAAGCTTAAACAGAGATGCAGAGTAGATGGATTTTTTTCTTTTCTGCGAAGATGGTGTGAATGGTGTGCGCTGGACTCGAGGCTTTGCCGACGGAACGATTGATATCCAATTAGCCAATCTATCTCTCAACTACAACAGCCATTTACACATACCAAGCTATTTACCCAATGCAGAAGGAGTTCTGTCAGGAAATATCTTAGAATATCTCGCTTTTGATTTGCTAACATGACTTAGAGAGTCTTCCACTATGTAAACAGAAGTCGCCTCTGACCTGAGCGACTCATCCCGCCATCACGGACACTGTCGTGTAAGTCCGCCTTCAACGACCGGACATAACCGAGAGACAAAAGCCTTCATGTATATGTTAATTCCCCTAATCTGCCAAAAATGGAACGCTCGAACAAATCCGTACAACTGATTTGACCCCGGTCGAATAGCATCCGAGAGTCTGTTCAACACAGTGAGTCTCCGAGGCTGTGTAACATTCTGCAGCCCGACTGATGATTATCACCGGAATTCGCAGCTCGGATACCTCGTGGCACGGATGTATCATCCAAGCCGTTGAGCAGAAAGCGAGCAATACGAATGCTGTACGGCGTTCGTACAACAGACGTCAAAAGTGGCGCAACCAGTCAGTTTCTTGCAAAGGTGTCATGAAGAGTAAGTGAAAAGGAAAAGGAGATGCGCTTCGTCTCGTTATCTAGATACCTCTGTGGTCTCGTTCTGTCTACATAGCCCCTAAGGCATCACACCTATCATGCTGTCCCATTCCATTTTCTATTCCAGATGTTCCACCGAAGTTCAGGAATAGATATATATCATCCCGATGTAACACCGCATGACACCTGAAAACAAGGTTCGCAGCCAGGTACCCAAACCGGAGAACCGTCATGTTGAATTTTGTAAGGGGGTTTCATGTTCTTCCTCCTCTTCCGCACGCCGTTCCCATCTCGCAAGCCTAGCTGAATAAAGTACAAACTAAAAACAAAGCCCTCGATGCTGAGAACATATGTAAAAACTCAATCTCCAGCAGACCCATTTTCACAAGATAAATGCTTATGCTTTGACAAAGAAGAAGGAGTAAGAGAAACAAAAAAGACGGGGAAACGAGGGGACAGTAGGGTATACACATCAACCCCCAATGCATGCACAATGTCAGACTAATGCATTGCATATATGCGATTGCCCAATGTCTCATATGCGCCGTGATCTGGTGGGAATAGCAGCTTTTTATGCTCATAAGATGCCGCTCCCATCCTGAAATGTGCACCGTCTAGGAAAAGACCTTGAGGAAGCCCCAAATACCAAGACCGCTGAGCACGGGAATCGTCAGGTTATCATCCCAACCAAAGATGTCGACAACTTCACTGGCAGAAGCGACAAAGCCGGACCAGACGCTCATGACACCGAGCGCGAGGGCTCCAGAGATGGTTGTCTGCTCCTTGGAGACACCAACAGCCTCGCAGATGGTCTTGGGCAGCGAGAGAACGCCCTTAAAGAGGAAGTTCTCGTCACCAGGGAATGGACCAACTGTAGGAACGAGCCAGCCGTAGAAGAAGTACGATGTGCCAACGCCAACGAGGAAGGCAGCAGTCGAACCAGCAAGAGACTTGCCCCTGCGAAGACGAGGGGTATATCGACCCCAAAGTCGACCGAAGGTGCTGGCAGCGGTGTCGCACCAGCTGAGCAAGAGAACGCTCATGATACCAACATCCTTGGGGAAGCCATAGAGGACGATCCAGGCACCGAGGAGGTAGAAGATCACACCGTTCCAGCCAGAGTACTCGCTCTCGCGCATCAAAGCACCGAGGACCTTGACATAGAGACGGTTGACAGACGCATATCGGTGTCGGAGCCAGTCAGTGGCTGCGATTGGGATGAGCGCTGACATGAGCCATGGTGTGACTGATGTAGTCTGAGTTCCTGTCACGTAGAGCCAGATAACGAAGAACCCGATCGACACGTGGAGCACCTTGCGGGGTACCTCGTGCTTGTGTACAAAGGTTCTCCAGTGTCGGTGGATAGGGATAAGGCCCAAGGGACTGGGACTTCGACTAAAGTCACGCCAGGACCATCCCACCGGTGTTGAAGGTTGAGGCGGCGCAAGGTGACCATTTGATGTCGTGGACTTTCCATTGCCGTTACTGCTGAGCGCTCCATTAGACGTCGTCTGCTCTTCTGGAATGGTGTTCTTGGACATCTTGCCCGCCTTAGCAGCGGTGCTCGTGCGCCTCGTCAAGCGCGTCACGGCCTGTGTGTCGATCGGCGAGCGGCTGCGGGTTCGGGCACGTCGAAACTCGGGGGGCTCGGGTAGATCCTCGTCGAGGGGCTGCGGCGTGGGTGTCCGTCTCCGGGCAGCCGAGCGTGTAACAGGGCCCATGTAATCGGCGGCGTCGCGCTCGGATGGGGTGGGACTCGGCGAGATGACGCGGGGCGTCTCCGGGATCTTGGATCGAAAGGACATGGTGTAGGAGAAAGGTGGGAGGGCGGAACAGCGGACGGTGCCGACGACTATACGACTGAGAGCGTTGAAGCCGGAGGGCCAGAAGGTATTGGGTATTGTAGAGTGGAGATATTTATCACGGCGCGATGAGCGCACCGTTGAGATGGGTTCTGACGGAGATGAAATTGTGAAGGTGTTGGGGGTGTCGTAATGAGAGGATCCGTTAGTGGGAATATTGTGTTGCTTTTTTCCCAAATCTAAAAGATGTTGCTCGTGATCGTCGTGGTCGTGGCTATGTCGTAGATAGATGTGGCGTAAACCTTGGTCGTTGTGTTCAAGACCAAGATTCTGCTGGTGGTGGTGATGCTGATGGTGATGATGATGTAGCTGCTGGTTCTGGCCGTAACCCTGACTCGGGCTCAGGCTCTGACTCGAATTCCGGTTCGGGGGACTCGGGCTACGTTTTGGCCGAGACTTGAGAGAGTGGTGAGAGTCGAGAGTGTTTATTGAATCCAGATTGATTAACAAGGGTGCAACGGAGGTTGGATCCCCCGCCGCATGATGGGTTCGGAGATATAAGGTACTGATGACCGTGGCCGTGACCGGGGCACGCACACATGTAGTAGTACGACGGAACTACTAACCTACGGTACAGTACAGGTCTTGGATGTACAGGCTTGTGAGAGACTGGGCCGAGTGGTGGACTTGCCAATGGGGGATCAACTCGACGGGCGTGACTAGGCCGTTGAGACAAGGAGAGAACAGAAGAAAATAGAGAGTCGCGTGACACTGAGGATACTTGCTAAGACCTTAGCGAGGCTTTTCTCGAGGGTCGTTGTGTCGCTGGGTTCTTGATCAAGTTTGGCGTTGGTTGGCTTTGGCTACAACGGTTGGAGATTTTTCGTCTGGGGCCAAACTCGGAACTCTCCAGATACGTACCTACCTACCTAGTCTAAGGTATCTGTGGCGTTGATCTCAGTTCAGTTCGAACCCGCACAAGACACCGCCTTTTTCCATGGATGTCTTTATTTCTAGCATGTGATGATCTTCGAGAGGGGTCTGTTGAAACAAAACACCTCGGTCTTGGAGATATTATCATGTAAAATTTGGTAAAAATATTCGTATTGCAGCAGAGTCTACTAATGGCTTGTGAAGGACCATATAAAATTAGAAAATAAGATTATATGTTGATCCTGGCACTCACCAGTCTCAGTCTCCGGCTCTTCCGCAACTGGCCTGATTGCTTCTTGTGCAATATCTACCTATCAAGATGGCATGTCAGCTGCCACATTTCTGCCAAATTGAATCATCCAGCTCAGGGACCATCAAATCCCACGACATTCAGATGGACAAGACATCATATCCGAGTGAGCACGTGCCGTGAAACACAGAATGCTACTTCAGCCACATGTCAGACTGCGCCACAGATGGCACGTGGTGATAAGATAAAAATTTCAAGAAATGTTTCGCGCAAAAGATGCCAAAGACGGCCCCTCTATGCGCCTTGGATCTGTAAAGACAGACCGTAATAATAATTCTTATAAAATTACAAGACTCGGTCTCGTTCTATAATGGTTTCAGAAAAGGTCAAAAAGAGAAGCCCGAGAGCTTGGGATGCTCTGAATCCGCCTCTTGCAGAATGGATTCGCGATGCTGTCGCAACCATGGGCTTCAGCCAAATGACACCCGTCCAAGCTGCAACACTACCGCATTTCCTTGGTAACAAAGATGTCGTTGTTGAGGTATGATTCTTTTATTGATGAGTATGCTATTGGTATCCTAACTTCATTGTAGGCTGTTACTGGTAGTGGAAAAACTCTCGCCTTTCTCATCCCTCTTGTACAAAAACTTTTGCGACTTAGCGAACCCACGAAGAAACACCATGTTGCTGCGATAATCGTCTCCCCTACTCGCGAATTGGCCGCTCAGATTCATACTGTTCTCGTCAATCTCTTAAAATTCCACGAAGCTTCGGCTGAAATACTCCCTCACCTCAAAGGCGACGAAAAACGACCTTCAACTACCGTACCCGCCATCGTCCCCCAGCTGCTCGTTGGAGGCACCACGACCACCGCCCAAGATCTGAGCTTCTTCCTTCGACACAGTCCTAATGTCCTTATCTCCTCGCCCGGCCGACTTGTCGAACTCCTGTCTTCACCTCACGTCCACTGCCCTCAATCCTCTTTCGAGGTTCTCGTTCTCGATGAGGCCGATCGACTTCTTGATCTTGGCTTTAAGCCTGATCTGCAGAAAATTCTATCACATCTCCCCAAACAAAGAAGAACGGGCCTTTTCAGCGCCAGTGTCAGTGAGGCTGTTGGAGAAATTATCCGAGTTGGTTTACGAAATCCCGTCAAGATTGAGGTCAAAGTCAAGATGAAGGATGGTGGAATTCTCGAAGACAGGAAAACACCTGCTAGTCTTCAAATGGCATATATGGTCAAGCCTGCTAGCCAAAAATTGCCTGCTTTGGCAGAACTTCTTCGACAATTACCGATTAAACCCCAACGGAGCATTGTTTTCCTGTCAACATGCGCTGCCGTCGATTACTTCCAGCATGTTCTGCCTGCCATCTTACCAGAGGGCTTTGCGCTGGTACCTTTACATGGAAAGCACCCAGCCAAGGTACGAGAGAAGAACTTCAACCGCTTCTTGAACTCTGTTGCCCCTACAATACTACTTACAACCGATTTGGCAGCTCGTGGATTAGATATTCCTCAGGTTGACTTGGTGGTTCAGATCGATGCTCCTTCAGATCCCAAGGCGTTCATTCACCGCAGTGGAAGAGCTGGTCGTGCAGGCCGAAAGGGTCTGGCTGTGGTTATGTTGCACCCCGGACGAGAGGAGGACTACGTGCAATTTTTGGAGATTCGCAAGACACCAATTTCAAAGCTGGAGAAGCCAGCTGTTTTCACATCAGAGGAGGATGCTGTGGCTGCTACAAAGAAGATGAGGGATCTGGTGTTGACGGATAGAGCACTTTTCGACAAGGCTCAGAAGGGATTTGTGAGCTGGGCTCGAAGCTACGGCGCTCATCAGGCAACATCTATCTTCCGCGCAGCTGATCTCGACTGGGCCGATCTTGGAAATGCATGGGGCCTGCTTCGCATGCCCAGGATGCCTGAACTCAAGGGCTGGAAGGGCGACAAGATGTGCGGTCTCGAAATTGACTGGGACAATTACGCTTACAAGGAGAAGACACGCGAGCAAGCGCGAAAAGCAGCTCTCGAAGAGGAAAAGTCCGGAGAGAAGAAGGATAAGAGCGACGAGACAAAGCGAAAGCGAAAGAACAACGAAGCATGGAGCGCTAAGCACGAAAAGGAGGATGAGAGAGTTGAGCGCAGGGAGAAGCGACGTAAGCGCCGTGAGGCTGAGGCCACATCTAAGATGACGGACGAAGAAAAGGTTAAGCAGATGGAGCTAAACGAACTCATCGCCGAAGTCCGGAGACAGAACCGCGAAAAGGCTGCTGCTGAGGCTGCGGCGGCTAAGAAGGACAAGGAGGATGAGTTTGCGGGCTTCGATGACTAAAGGTAGTTTAGTGAGACGAGATAGGAATATACCCCGTTGTTTGGCTAAGATATGTTTTGGGTTTGGTGTACCTGAGGGTAAGGCAGAATGGGAGTAGTTTGTGTGAGGACGACGTGGACATTGCGTGGCTTGGCTGTGAGAACATGGGTGATTTATAAGATGGAGGTGAGTATACGCGTATAGATTTTGGAGGGTGAATACGAAAATTGAAGTTGAATCCGATGAACGCGTATTGGAATTTCGTCGTAGATGACTCCTGCGTCATTCATGCGGAGTTTTTTCCAGCAATAAAGGGCAGAGATGAATGAATTTAGAGGTGCTTTTATATGAGGGAGATCAATATCATTCTTGTACACCTCTTGTGGACGATATATCATCTCTTGGGTCCTGGTGTTGTGATAGTGTCAGCGGCAGTCCGGCATATACTGTCTTGGCATCACCACCAAAAAGGCAAGATACCGATTGGAGGAGCGGAAATATGAAGGTTAAAACATTTCTAAATCGGTTTAAGTCTATTCAAAATCATCAGTTAACCTACGCAATAGTCCACGTAACGTGGCCCCCCTTGTAACCCTTCTGGTGTATTACTGTAAGGCTGATAGAGAGAACGAGCTTCTATTTTGAGATGGCCAGAAACTCTTGGTACCGAAAGCGAATGTTGGTTAATTATCACCAGTTTTGGGGAGTTTAAACCACTAAAGATGTCGTTGATTGCTCTTGATAAATTGGTCATGTCTGATGCGTCATGCTCTGCTAGACTTTTCTTCACTTACTTACTCACTACCTTACTTAGACTGGTTGTCCACTTGCATGACTAAAAGTTACTGACGGTTTCGGAATTATTCCAACGTCAACACTCCGCTTTGTCAACAACACCTCCATCGATGATCACTACTGAAGCCACAAGAAAATAACAAAGTCTCCTACACTGGGGCGATACGACGAGGAATACGATTCAAGTCTCCCGAACTAAAGCTGCCAACCAATTAGGACGCACGCTTTCAATTAAAGCAAAAACACATCAGGACTAGCCAGGACAGAACAACATACCATGACTTGTTGTGCCTGCTGATCGAGAGCAATTCTTTTCGCCCCCTGATCACTCTCACTCCCCTACCTTATCTATACTTCCTTTCTTCTCCCGATGCCTCCGAGAAAATCCGGGTCCGGTTCTGGCTCCGGCGCCGCTACTGCCAAGCTCCGTCGGGCACATCGCAAGTCCCGGAACGGCTGCTTGGAGTGTAAGAGACGGCATATCAAGTGTGATGAGAACCGTCCTGCGTGTAGTAACTGCGTCATCAGTGAGAGGACATGCTCGTTTCCTGCTCCGCCTACTCCAGCCGCTGCGCCAACTCCACCAGAGCAGCCTGTGTCTTCCTTCAATGATCCCATGAGTACCAGCCAGGTTGAGAGTCCTGCTGATAGCATCTCGAGCACTGCGGCCTCTCACCGGCCTTCTTCAATACCGCCCCCGTCATATCTTGCACCAAACTCCAACTCTGGCTTCTCATCGAATGTTGATGACGGCGCACACTCGACTTCTCTGCCATCTTTCACAGAATCTTTCGCTGCTGCAGACTTGTCCGAGTCGCCTCTATCAACGTCACTGTCAGACGCTCTTCCTACGCCAACCTTTACCAACAAGCACCTCATACTATTACATCACTTCCGCAAATCTCTACTATTCGATGTTGACAACGTCGACATCATCATAGACCTCGCTCTCGACTGGTCATCAGAAGCCCCGTACGCTCTGGACCAGCTCCTCGCTATATCAGCAGATCACCTTGCCATGACTCTTGTCGAAACTTCAGCTGAGAGCGCAGCTTCTTGGAGACGCATCGCTACAGAGTTGCAGACTCGAGCTCTCACGCACTTCAACAGAGACAGCCAAGACGCTGCCAGTTACGAGTCTCGCTTCGTTCCCCGTTTCTTGCTCTCGTCCTTGCTGAGCTTGCATATGCTTTACGACACACTCACACAGTATCGAGCTACATTTCACGTCTTCATAGAAAGATTCTGTGACTCTGTCTGCCTTCATCGCGGTGTGAAATCGTCTTCATCGCCAGGCTACCAGACTCTTATCAGGTCTCCCTTGGCGCCATTCTTTCTCGGTGTCAAAAACGCAGCAGAGCTCGGTGATAAGGGTGATGAGTGTGCCCCCCTCATAACTCTCATCGAAAACTCTGATTTGAGTCCATCAGCCGTGGAAGCCTGCAGTACAGCCGCTCGTACATTACAATGGGCTTTCAATGTTCACAGGAATCTACCCAAGAGCGTAAACGTACAAGCTGCCTCGGCATTTCCAGTCGTGTTGGACGACAATTACGTAGAGCCAGTTCGAAAGCACCGCCCCGAAGCATTGCTCGTCTTGGCTTATTATGGTGTTCTCCTCCACCGATGTCGACATATCTGGTTGTTTGGCGATTCCGGCGCGTTCCTGATACATTTGATTGCCGATCACCTTGGAAGCTACTGGAAGGAGGCTTTGCGCTGGCCACTTGAGGAGTTGGAAAGGGATCAAGGATGAGAAGATTGGCAGAGGACAAGACTCTAATCCTGTACCGATGACGTTCAGAGCGAAGATATTGAGATGCCTTCACAGGAGCAATTCTATATGCGAGCTCGTGGAAGCACCGCATTCAAACACATCAAGGGTAACAAAGATATCGCCGAGCTTAGGTCACAGACCTTCGCACCACCATACAAGGAGTCGGATCAGTCAAGCGTCAAGATATGAAATCAGGGACGTGATCTTTTAGGAATCCTTAGGAGGTGTCGTCAATTCCGACAAAGGTTAAGCTGGCCTGGTTCAAGCTCGGCCTAAACTAGCATGAACTTGGAGGAGAACGTGGAGGCTTCAGGCTGTGATAATCTGTTGTGAGGATACTATTTATGCTTGCAACTGTCATGCTCATCATAGAGTGGCTTAGGAGGCAGGAGAGGATACCATCGAGGGACGATGATATAAAGTCTTTCAATAAACAAGTAAAATACTTCAACCACTTCCACTGTGACAACTTCATCAACACCAAACTATCTCATTTCATTTCACGGACTGGAGCACACACGTATTCGATGAATGCCATCTCATCTTTCTCTGTACGATTATCCATAGTGTAAGCTATAACGATATCTACATGAGCCCAGCCTGTTTCCCCCTTCCTGCGAACACAATACAATACTCTGAATCTTTTGCATGTCAATTCTCTTTATTTTATTCATAAAAAGGCGGATTGGTAATAGCTCGTGCGTTAACGTCGTCAAATCAAAAGTCAAACAACCGACTGCAGCGAAAAACTTCAACCAGGGCTCCTTGATCTTTCTCACACTCTCTCTTTGTGTTGTTTTTTCGAAGTTCCTCCCTTGAGACTTCCAAGGGCAGGACGGATCCAGACAAGGGCTTTTTTTCTCTCGTTTGCGCCGCTGGGCAAGGCGGATGGCCACTCTTCTACGGAAGGAATATGGTATCATAACAGGAAGGAAATTGGGCGTGGACGAGATGTCGAGACATGCATGAGATGGAGAGAAAGGCCGCTGGGTTGCAGCTTGAGTGCAAACTCTCAGAGACCATAGAACTCCCAACCATCACCAGCTGCATCTGTCGGTCCCGCTTCATCGGCGACATGGGGCGCAAATTCAGTCCGAAGTTCTTCGTTGAGTCATAGCTCCTCATCTTCCAGCTCAGAGGGCTTGAGAAGACCGCCAACCTTCTGTCGTCGTTCCATATCAGCAGTCTTGGCGTCCTGCTCCTGTTGTTCCTTTTCGACAATGAAGAGCTCAGCGTTGTCGCCAGCAAACTCCTTGAGGGAGACAAGGAAATCACGGAGGTTGAGTCGGAACTTGTCGTACTGCGTGTTAAGCGTGAACAGGCCTTCGACGAAGCTTGTGATTTGGTTCCTGTACAAAGATTAGCTTATGGCGTGAAGGGTAGAGGTGATGCGTACGCTTGCAGGTTGCGGAAGGCGTTTTGTAGGAGGTTAGCTACGAAGTTGGCGACAAACTCTCGGTTGTCAGTTCCAGCTGCAGCCTGATCGGGGCTGTAGATAGGACCCTGGATCTTGGGCTGAGATCCATCGGCTGGGTTGATATAGTAAAAGAGCTTCATCAACAACATGGATTGTGTCTTGAAACCGGCCTTGTGGTCGTTATCCGTCACAACAAAGAACACGTCCTGGAGGATGGTGATGAAGAATCGCTGGAAGAAAGCGTTGGCGGTCTGCACATCAGTCTTCTCGGCAATGTTGTTAATCAGCTCCAGAGCCATGTTAAGACCAGCTGCCTCGACATCTCGGTTGTCGTGCTTGAAAGCCCATGAGCATGAGTCGATAACAAACTTGAATTGGTTGTTGTCGAGCTTGAGCAGGGCAGGGAAGCAGTGCAAGTTGATGGCTCGGAGGAGGTTGAAGAACTCGACTCGGTGCTCGGGGAACTCGGAGAAGTCCTTGTTGATCATCTCCAGAGTGCACTCGAAAACGTTCTGCATGATAGTAGGAACCTGGTCCTCCATCAAAGCCTGTTACTTGTTAGTATAAAGTCCTGCAAATATGTTCAAGGTAACACTGACAGAAAGCTTGGTGATAATAGTAGAGCAAGCCTTGAGCACCTCGGCATCTCGAGCGCCAGGGACGTTGCGGTTGTAATCGACAAGAACAGATTCCAGCAGAGGAGGAACCATCTGGGCACGGACAGCCTGAAGATCCTCTGCTTTATCGACGTAAACCTCAATAAGCTTAAGGATCTCCTTCTTAATGGTTCGGAGACCTCGGACCTTGGGCATCTTGGTAGCGAGTTCACCATCGCGAGCCACAGCCTCAGAGATCAGTGTACTTGTGGCGTTGTACATCTGAAGCATGTCATGGTAGATGCGGCCGATCTGGGGATAGAAATAGGACCCCACAGATGAGCAAGCAGACACATTCGTCTTCATGATGTTTCCAATAACCTTGATAGTCTCGGCATCCTGGAGGATAGTTGGGTTGACTGTTGCCTGCTTGATGATCTCGTCCCAGGCTGCGTTGGGGATAGCCATCAGGTCGGCAAGGAGTCTCTCCTGCTGATGCTTGTTGCCCTGAGCGGCGACCATGTAGCCACAGGCTTCGTAGAAGGTGTGCACTTGTTGAGGCGTCAAGTCGCATGTGATCTTACCCATGTTTCGAACAATCTCCTCGATGAAAGGCTCCTGCTCGCTAGGTTGCAGAGCTACAAAGTGACGTCGACACTGACGGGCGATCTTAATGAACGTATCGCAAGCCATGTCCTGGACACCTAAACCAATGTTGATTAGCATTTTAACAGTCAGCTCAAGCTGGTTTTCACATACCCTCATGTGACTCGTGCATGAACTCGAACAGCTTATTAACGACTGTCTTCAGGAACTTCCAATGAGCCTTGAGGAAGCGAGGGTACTGTCCAACAATGTACATAATGTTACTGGCGACAACGGCCTTGTTGTCCTTGCCACGCTTCATCTCAGTGAGACCGAGAAGGTCCTTAATGACAGTAACAAGGAACCTCTTCTCTGTCTCCTCGTTCATCGCCAAAGAGATCGAGCCGATGGCCCAGCAAAGAACGTTGCAGTTATGCCAGGACCACTCGCTTCCGTCGACTTGCCGAGCGAGCTTCTCGGTCATGATGTTTTCTGTGTCGACCACGTCCAAATGTGTCAGGTATACCAGGCACTCTCGAATCGTCTTGTAAAGTTGTACTGTGTCACTCTCCTTGACGAATTCTCGGACAATTTCGCCCTCGTCGTTCTCAACAATCAAGACTTCCTCGGGACGGACCATCTTCTCAATCATAACGACTCGAAGGTTCGAGAGGACCTCGTTGTATTTGTGCTTTCGAAGAGGATAGTTGTTGAGCATCGTAGGGTTCGGGGCGCCGCTTCCAGAGATTCCTGCGCCAACTGCCATGAGAGGGTTTAGGTCGGTCATGGGGAGCTGTTGCATCTCCTCGTAAAGCTCCTGGACAAGCTTGAGCCAATAGTCGAGGGTAATCTTGAAAATTTCTCGATCATCGATCTGCGATATCCTAATAAGATAGTAGTGACCGTGGATGAGGAAATCGCGGTTGGGAAGTTTCTCGATAAGCTATCGCAATGATGTTAGATTCGTCCGGATATCAAACGCAGCATAAAACGTACATTCAAGTGCATTCCGAAGAAATTGCAGAGGAAGAGAGCCAGGTTTTGTATGAACTCCTGATCCCTCGAGTTGCTGCTTGGATATGTGCTCTTGAGATCAAGAGAAACGGGAATGATGTTAGCAATGGTAGTCAAGGTCTCGGTGAACATCTTCACAAGCTGCTCGTCGTAAGAGTTGGGCTGGCCGGGGCCGCCAGTCTGAAGACCACCAATCTCAGTAAGGCACTGCATGGTGACGTTGCGGAACTCGGGGGTCGAGAGGAAACGGGTTCGAAGTGTCTCGATAAGCGGTGTCTCGAAGATGTATCCCAAGGGGATCCAGTTGCAGAATCGCAGAAGCGTCTCGAGGGTCGCCTTGATCAGACTAGGCTGTGTGGCCGTGTTGAGGACCTCCTGGCAGAGGTTGAAGATTTGCGAGAACTCGGCGCACATGGTCTGCTTGAGGTTGCGTGTCTTGGTCGATGTCATCTGCTCGGCTGAGTAGTCGAAAACTTCCTCCGAGAGCAAGCGAAGGATGATCATGTTGTTCTCGCAGATGGATAGATTGGAGTGGCAGGACGAGATGATTTCGTTGATAAAGGTAGGCCAGTTGTGAGGCCACTCCTGCTTGAGTACGGAAACGAGGACGAGGTTAAGCTTGTTGAGCAGGGTCTTTTGCTGGCGCAGCGACTCTTCGGTGCTCGAGCACTGGATAATGAACTGGACGATGAAGTTTCGGATTCCTACGAGTGACATGTCGTCAGAACTGGTTGCTAACTGTTATCGCGGTGAGGACGGACCTTGGCACTGCTCCCGAGGGAGGACCTTCCATCTTGTCAAGATCACATTGTCGAGAACCTGCAGACCCAAGTCTGTCAAAATTTGTTAGTTGAGTTGATTCACAAGTCAAGTATTCGCATAGATCGAAGTGAGGAGAGCTGGCTTGGATACAGCACAGCATAGGAAGTGGCGCAAAGCCGAGGGTACACACATTTGGTTTGAGGGTACTGCGCATCCGAGAGGATCTTGTCGACCATGAGCCACGCATCGGGGTCTTCTTTGAACTGCAGCTCAAGTCAGTAAAAAAGCTCTGCACGAGCCGAGAGCTAGATCTGTACGAACCTGGTTGAGAGCAGCTTGGGCGGCTTTTTGCTACACGGTTAACGAGGCCGGGTTAGCTATCGTTCCTCACTCATGTCGACGCGCGGGGTCCACGGTTGGTAAAAACCGACGCCCAGAAGACTACCTACCTGCTCACCGCGCCCCTCGTAGAAGGAGCGGACGAGGACGTCCAGCTCTTCAATGGAGGCGGCCATTTCGTGTGGTAATTTCGGGTTCACGAGAGGATCGTTACGAGTTGGGAGGAAAAAGAGGTTGGCGGTTGGAGGTGGTGGTTGTGGTGGGCGGACGAGACGAGGCGAGGCGGGGGGAGAGAGAAGATCCAAGCAAATACCAGCCCCAGGCAGATATAGATCAGAGAAGCAGTGGCGCAGCTAGCTCTCTATAATATGGAAGAGAGAGGGCTAGAGAGAGGGAGATGGGATAAGGCGATGTGAATGTTTGTCGGTGTTCGCGTGGAAAAATGGAAAAGAGGAGAAATGCAAAGTTCGGCTTTGGTAAAAGCAAACTAAGGCAAGGCAAAGTGGACGACGTCGGTGAGGTGAGGTGAGGTGTGAAGAGATGGTCTGGACGGCTTGAAGTGGACGAGAGTGGAGTTGAAGGGGAGCAAAAGCACTGTGAATACAGTACCTTTAGTGGAGTACCGAGCACAGAAATGCCCCGCAGCGAGCTGCCTGCCTGCGTCACTACCTTACCTTAGGTACGCTATAAAGTAAGTTCCAGTAACCACCAGCAACCAGGTCAAGCTTAGAGCTCTCCCGTCTCGATCTTAACGCACTGCATCCCTATATCCGTATGTCTCACACTGAGGGCGGTTTTGTCAGCAGCGGGGCTTGAAAATGCGAGGTCTGATGGAGGGTTGCCTGTCATGTCATGTCACTATCACATCAATGTATCTCTACTTTGATCCGTGACGGCGGTTGATGCTGTCACTGCGCATTTCTCATACCAAAAGGGAGCTCAGCTAACGGATTGTCGGACCCATGACGCTAAGATCTTTGTAGCGGTACTTGAACTTACCGAAACTCCCCAGCCTCCCGGCGCATAATTAATCGATCGATCTCATGATTCGCTCTGGGTTTGACAACGGCGCGTGTTTGTCAGTCTCGTACAAAAGCTGTGAGCTGAAATTACCGCATGCGGCTACCCGAATCACGATCGTAATCTAAGATATCTTGTATGATAACGACCACGAACCAAACATATATCCAGGACTGCCTCTTCAAGCATTTATGTTTATATTTAAGCTGTCATGAACTGTATGTAGTCTGTATCTAGCGTTGATGTTCTGCATAAACGAGAGATTATCGCACCCCTTATGACAGCAGACAACATCACCAGGCATAAACTGATAGCTCACAAAACTCAACGAACCATATCTAAACACGTCGGTCATCAGAGTATCATATTTTTTCAAGGCTCGCTCTATCGACAAAAGACAATACTGGCCAACCCTCTATAGTTGGCTCCATTTGTATCCAGATATCCATACATGGCCAGCCATAGTTTCATTATTTAACTTTTTTTTATATGAACAGCCAAGAACCGACATTGTGTCGGCTTTTGGCCGTCTCCAAGCGATGTTGATATTCGTTCACTCTCTTTCTAAGCCTTGTAGCCAACCTCGAACAAGCTATCCTTGAGAGCGCTGAGAGCCTTCTCGATGTGGTTTCGGCTGGGGTCAAGCTATCAAAACCATGTTAGCAGGTTTATCTCGAGTACACAAATTCAGATACACTTACAGCGCTGACTCCCATATGGCCGAATCGGATATACTTGGGAGCAATAGCCTTGTGAATACCACCAGCAAAGACAACACCCTTGGCGGCCAACTTGGGCAGAACATCAGCAGCGCCAATGCCATCAGGCAGGTAAATAGCAGTCATGGCGTGAGCCTGATCCTCAGGTTTAGTAGCCACGACCTTCAGACCAAGATCGGTAACAGCCTTCTTGACCTTGTTGGATACCTCGATGTGGCCCTGGAATCGCTCAGACAGGGGCTTTCTAAAGATCTGAGTAAGGCTAGTGTGGAGGGCGTGGATGAGCTGAGGAGAAGGAGTAGCAAAGTAAGAGGGCTTCTTGGCCTCGTAGTTCTTCATGATGGGTGTCCAATTCTTCAGGGAGGCGAAGTAAGCGGGAATAGGAGTCTTGCGGTTCTCAAGAGCAGCGGCGACAGCTCGGCCGCTGAAGAATGAGATGGAGAGGCCAGCGGGAACACCAATGGCCTTCTGACTGGCAGTAACAACACCATCCAGACCCCACTCATCGAAAGCAATCTCCTCACAGGCAACACTGCAGACACCATCGACGATAACGAGAGTCTCGGGGGAGACACGGCGGACAGTAGCAGCAAGATTCTTAAGCTCACTCAGGACACCAGTCGATGTGTCGACGTGGGTGACTGTGAGGATCTTGTACTTCTTCTCGGAAAGAGCCTTCTCGATCTCGGGGAGCTGAGGTCGGCCGCCAACTTCACCGTCGAGCTTGGTGACGTTGGCACCGTAGGCGCGCAGGCAGTCGGCGAAGCCATCGCCAAAGTAGCCAGTGCTGAGAACGAGGGCGTTCTCACCGGCCTCGACAAGGTTGGCAGCAACAATATCCCATCCCAGGGTACCGGAACCGGAGATAACGTAGGGCTGGGCGGAGGGGTCGGTCGATTGGAACAGCTTGCGGGTCAGGGTGAGGGTCTCGCCGAAGGTGTTGACGAAGCCGGGGCCGACGTGGCTCTCACTGTGTAACAAGTATTAGCAAGCGAGATATTATCCATCACATCACGCGGACGTACCTGTAGTGGCCCATGGACTTGAGGACCTCATCATCGAACTCAATGGGTCCGGGGATGAGGAGAGTAGCGTGTTCAGGTTGAGAAGACATGTTGGCTGTGGATGTTGAAAGACGACGAGCTTGGGTAGAAACTGAAGCTTGAGCAGGAGAAGGCGCGGTATAAGAAGAGGACGACAAGTGACCTGAGACAAGAGAAATCCTATCGGCCGACGCAGATGCAGTTCCAGCGGCCGAATACGTCTTGAAGCCCGCCGAAGAAGAAGAGGGGCTCTCGGCGGACAGCTCCGGAGCGCGGGGCACCTGGACCTTTCTCCCCTCCATTGCAAGTGCCGATCTTAACAGGCTACGACTGGCTGCTGCACCAACCCCCACTTCCACGGACGACAACCGCTGAAGGGGCGCCAGGTTGACTGCCTGAGGCCCTTCTGAAAGGTCTTTTTTTTGCGGTACCGCAAGCAAATGTGCCTGCTGCAACGGAAGAAGGCCGAGAGGATAGAGAACGTCGGTAGGCTTCCGATTCGGGGCACAGAAGCCGTGTTTTTCGGGTCTATGAAGCACCGAGATATAGACGTCACGCAACCAAGAGTTTTTTAAGCAGTAAAAAGAGGATTTTGAGGTTGTTGATTCAGAGTCATACGAATTGCCTCAGGGGAAGAGGAAGAGGGAACTTCGCCTAGGGAAATGCGCTGAGTGTCCTGACTCTAGCCCCGGAATCCCCTGTCTTCCGTCCCCGTTTTTTGCTTCTTTCAGCGCAGCGAACGGAGCTTTCTCACTGTCGTGTCCAGGTTAGCTCGGGTTATGTGAGGCCGCTACCGGAGCGACAGGTTTGAATTGAGTGGACGATGATTCGGCCATGTCTCGGGATCTTGAACCGATTATATCGAACCGATATTTTTATATGGTAAGCGTTTCCGCTGATTCGGGACGTACAATATCGAATGATGTTGATTAATTATCATGATGGAGTTGCGAGCGCTCTACGGGAAGGGTCCCGATCTAAAGTAACAGAATAACAAACGGTTGACCAGCCGAATGATCAATACCTTACCCACAGCCAGTTCTACTTGTAAGAAGACCCTCATGCAATGCCTTTATAAAACTCAAACAACTTCTCTGCACCATCTTCCCACTGAACATCATTCTGTAAATGATGCCCTGCTCCCTCAACGAATTGTAATCTTACACCATCTCGCTTGTCATTTCCAGCCTCGCGGTAAAATGTCGCTGTCTTCTCTGTCACAGGACCTGTCATGAGCTTATCTTGAGTGCCTGCCATGACGAGAACCTTTTCACCGCTCGTGCCGTCATTGCGGATGTGACTCAAGATATATGTTGGCGACGCGAAGCTGTACATCATGCTGAAAGGCCACAGGTAACTCTCATAGCGGTTCATGTGGCGTTGGAACGGGACGACAGATGAGAGAGGGAACTTGTCACCAAAAAAGGCTCTTTGGGTGAGCTTTGGGTGGGAGAGAGGCGAGTTGGAGTGCCAGAGATGGAAGATCAGTCGTATTGCGAACCATGGGTCCATCTTCCACCAATTCATATACACGCCCATTCTGCGATTGTGTTAGCATCCTGGTAGGGGCTCCGAGATACGTGTTTATCTTGACTCACGATCCAAACCCTGGGACTGCACCCAGTAAAGCAAGTGCTTTCACATTCACCAATCCATCGCTAAGAACGCCTTGGCTCAAACCCCCACCACTTGAATGTCCAACAAGCATAACCTCACTCTCTTCCCTCATCTGCACCCACTCTATAGCCGCAACGAGATCAGAAGCCAAGGCACTTCGAGGCGTGGCAAAGACCATGCGGAAATACGATGGATGCCATGATTCACCGTGGCCACGCAAGGAAACTGCATAGCATTGGACTCCTCTTGCTGCTAGATATTGCATGTATTCTGTCCATACCCACGCGCAGCCCATGCCGCCGTGGCAGAAGACTATGGGAGGGCCATTGAACTTGTTGGTGATAGATGGGGTGTTGGAGAGGACTTCGATTCGGCCTTGGGGTGTGTTTACCCAGTGACGCTCGAGACCTTCAGCAACTGGAGATGGAGGTCCTGAAGGTCGAGTATAGTGAAGCCACTGATAGCTGAGATGCAAGCCGAACATCGTTGTGTAGTAGTAAGACTATAGGCTGTGTAAGTCGAGGTTACTGGTGTTGGAGTAGTTGTATGGAGGTGGGTATGATGGCTCAATGCATGGGTATTGCTCTCCTCTTATACAAATACAACCTAGCAGCCAAGACTTCAATCAAGCTTAAAATAAGCACAAACAGCAAGGTCCCTGTCTTCCGTAAAGATCTTGTTTGTCGCACATGCAAAAGCTCAGCCTGCAAGCCACCAACTTAGCCCATAAGCTTCAGCCTTCAGCCGCTCGTTAGCTTGGTCCATCCACAAAGCAGCTCGTCGGAAGAATCAGGAATGAACATGGGAATGCCTAGTAATTTCGTGTCTTGTGGTCTAAAGAATTATTCTTGCTGAGTGGCGTATTCAGCGAGGCCAAAGCGATTAACGAGTCCGGCATCATGGATATCGTTATGGCTGAAGATAATATGAGTCAATGAGTTAATACCATGACAAGGCCGTGATAGGCTATTTTAAACATCAATTCGCACAACTATCATACGCCTTTTGCAACGTTGTATCATGTGGCTTTCATAAGACAAGAGGCCAGCTTCAATCAATGCCTCAAATCACAGGTCGTTTTGTCAGTAAGATATGTTTCGTGACCATTTTCGCATTACAGGCAATAGTCGGACTTTGTATTAAAATCAACGATCTTCCTAACGCAATCAGGAACAGTAGACGATCAACTCCGCAAGACCAATCGTCTTGCATTACCCACTCGTTCTAGAATACTTCCATTCTTCCCTTTCGGCTCTGAGTTCTTATCAATCCCTACCCCGCTCCCTCTCTGCGGAAACCTACCCGTCAAGTATGGAGAGTCACAAGGATGCCATTGTTTTGTTTTGTTCATGCATCAATATTATTGCCATTGACCATTTCTGTGCCTCTTTTGTGTTTTAATTCCAAGTGTGATGTCATCGTCTACAAGAGCTAATGCTACGAGACCAAATAATGCAAGGAAGCGTGTTCCCAAAGCGTATGTTCTTATCTTGACGATATGGGCTGAACAACTGACTTTTGAGATTATCAGCTGTGTAAGATGTCGAGATCAGAAGATTAGATGTTCTGGGTCGCAGCCATGTCAGCAATGTGATAAGAGGGGGTCAGTGTGTCAATTCGATGATGAATCACGTAAAGTTGTCGTTTCGAGAGGGTAAGTCAATACCAAGAACTGTTGACGGAGCCTCACTTACACATTTCTTCCAGGTACATCAACCGTCTTCAAGAGAGGTTGGCGGCTTTAGAGAGCAAGTCAGAAGAACACTCCCTCGTTGAAGCTACAACTGGCGGTTCAAGGAGCACCGATTTGAGTAAGTCTTTGTTGGTCGCCCATTGGCCTTCTACTAAGAGTACCAGGTGATCGTGTACCACTATCCACTGAGCGTAATGAGATCTCAGAACAAGTGATAAAGACTTCAGCTTCAATATCACCATATAGAACAGCCGAGGCACAAGACCAACGACAACTTAATGGTGAAGGCAAAGCTCCTCTCACGAATCCTTTGGCTTTCCACACGTATGACTTTGTTCCAAGCGTCACAGGGCACATCCGTAAGTCCATACTCACTCACCCAAGGAGTCAGTATCTCAAATGAAGGATTAACTTATCGTCAGTTTTCATGGGAACATCATCAAATTGGTCCTTCAACAAGCGAGTCTTGACCATGACCCACGAACGTGTCAAAGGCCGTCCATTGTCAATGCACAATCTGCACTTCGCCGGTACTGAGGGAAAGGTCTTCGATCTAAGATGGGATGGAACTAGAAAGTTGACGGCACAGGATGCTCCGGACATGTCGGCCCTGCCAACTAAAGACTTTGCTCTGTATCTCATCAACTCGGTCAAGTTTCACTGCGGTTGGCTATACAGCCTATTTGATGAGGACATCTTCATGGAACGCTTCCGTCTATTCCACCAGAAACCTACCGAATATGCGCGTGCAGAACCTTTGTGGTTCATTCACTACCTTCTTGTCCTGGCGTTTGGGAAGGCTTTCGTGGTTCAGTCAACCAAGTCGAGACGGCCTCCTGGAGGTGACTTCTTCGTACAAGCCATGAAGCTCATGCCTGACTTCAACTTCTTTGATTGCGATATCATAGAGGAGATGCAGGTTCTTTGCTGTGCTGCTCTGTATCTGCAATCTGTGGATCACATACAACAGGCATATCGTCTGGTAAGCAACTGGCTCTTTTAATATGTATAGTAACTAATGGCATCAGGTCTGCTCCGCACTTCGTCATGGCTTGGAACACGGTATGCATACTGAGATGCAATCCGATTCTCTTGACGCGGCTTACGTACAGAGAAGCCGACATGTGTTCTGGACACTCTATATCCTCGAACGCCAGCTGATTTCTCTCCTGGGACTTCCGCTCAGCATAGCTGACGAGACGATAAGCGCACGCTTTCCCGACTTTCCAGGACAGCCGCAAAAGTTAGAGGCACTGAAGATACATGTTGACTTCTGCAGGGTACTTGCAAAGATAAATCAGAGTACGTATTCTTGTGCTGCAGAGACACGGTTGCTAACAATCACAGCTGTGTATGGCCTTGAAGGAAAGCTCGACAGTCGATACCTCGGTGCTACCCAGTCAGTTCTGAAGAGTATCGCGACAGTGACAGAACGATTAAACAAGTCCTTTGAGATTCAGGCAAGCGAGGGGATGGCTGGTATATCGCGAATATCAGCACATCTCCATTTGATGCAACACCAAGTAAGTTCGTCTGTCTCCCTCTGACTGCCCACTTCTAACAGAACAAGTGCATCATTCTAACTACAAGACCACTTCTTTACACCTTTCTACTTTCGAGGCTCGGCCACTTAGAGGTAGCTTTGATGCATTGGCTACAGTCAGAGAGTGTGAAAGGGCTAGTCCAAATGTGCACCGAGTCTGCTCAGCAGATTTTGAGAATCCTCTCTAGTCTTTCTGAGCAAGGGCTTTTAGGTGAGGTCTCCTGTCTCAGTATTCATTTTGAGCGTGTTACTTATTATCGAATAGAAACATTCCTGAAGTTCGATCAGGACGCCGCTTTCAGTGCTACGATCGCACTGCTTATGGCCGCTGCTATTGACTCATCACTTCTACCAGACCATACTCCCTGGACGCAACGCGCCTACGGTCTCTTCGACGAGATGAACTCGAGAGGAAATCTCGTAGCCAATATGGTAGCTGCTGAACTGAAGCAACTAGAAGACTTACTCAAAAGCTTCCTCACCAGCAATGACTCGAGGCCTGTCGTTGTGACACAGGGCCCGAACACGCCTCGGCAGGGTTTTATGAATGACATAGACAGTGGCACAGGCTCTGCTACTGATTATGCCGAGCCGTTCAGCCTCGAGTCGGATGATGACTTTGGATTGGGGCTGAACTATGAGCTTAGTGCAGAACAGCTCTTGAATATTGCTAATTCGCTGGATATTGATAGCTTGACATGGCCGTGGCCGGAGGATCCGATGGCTGAAGATGTGGATGGTGTATGTGAGTAGCGAAAAGGACAATCTTGATACAAACATTATAATTGAGATTCATCGCTGGACTTTTTGTATCTCTGAGCACTATGTTTTGTTCTCTTCTACTCCTCGGAGGGCACAGTTGACGTCAAAGGTCGTCCTTTTGTCATGCTTTCTAGGCAGTCATTGAACGAGATAAACTTCTGATACCATAAGTCAAGTCAACGACACAGCTGTAGTTTCTTCGAACTGCTCACAATAGCTTTGATAATGGACTAGTTTCCTGCTTCCATACACAACTCACGAGTATATCACTGAAGATGGAGGACATATGAAGGTGAGTCGAATGCGAGAAAACTTCAATAGTATGCTATGAATAGTCTCCGACACCTATGGAATACATCCGTAACCAAGACCCCGACACCATCATACAACTTTCAAGACGTGGTATCTACCACAGTTGGACATAAGTGAGGAAACGCCTCCACTTAGGCTTAGCATAGTACTCGTCGAGCTGCTTGATCTCATCGACGCTCAAGTGTCGTCGACCGGTGAGACAGTCGGCGGTGGCAGGATCTCTCCAGGGAGTTCGGAAGATGACCTTGTATCCAGCAGTGAAGCCAAAGATGACGAGAACACCAATCATGTACTGGAAGAAGTTGGAGGCAGAAAAGCCAGCGCCACCCTGTGATGTATTCGTTAGATGATTATTCATATAGATTGAGGACTGTTGAGGAGGTAACTTACGACAGGCTTGATTCCGGAGTAGATACAGCAGACCAGCAACATGACGGAGATGAGCATCAACCATGCTGGTGCAATGGGCCAAGCACTCGATCTCCAAGCATAAGTCTCTGAGAAGAGTTTGTCGTTCTGAGCCTTCAGAGCACAGTGGAATCGGTAGTTGGTGAAGGAGATGATGATCCAGTTTGTGAAGAAAGAGGCGCTTGTAATGGAGATCAGCCAGTTCAAGACAGTAAGGCCACCAGCTACAGCAATGTTAGCCGTGCTTCTCAGAGTGCGAGGGGCCACTTACCAGAAAGTTGAATGTATCCAAGAATGACAGCCACAACAGAAGTGATGATCAAAGCAAGTCTGGGACGGCCCTTATCATCGACATGTGCAAGGCGTGTAGAGATGAGACCCTGATGAGCCATAGTCCGCAGGACTCGTGACGAGAGATAGACTGACTCGGCAGCGATGGCAAGGACACCACAGATCATTCCAGCGTTCAGGAGAGAAGAGATACCGGGAATTCCAGAGTCTGTAACGGCAACGACGAAGGGCGAAGCAGCGACACCACCTCCACCGAGAAGACGAGGGTCGTTGGAAGGAACAAGGATGGTGATGAAGACGACGCTGAGCATGTAGATGAAGTTGACTCGGAAGGGGACAAGCTTGGTGGCGTGAGCGAGGGAGAAGCGTGGGCTCTCTGCTTCGCCGCCCATGATACCGATGAAGACTTGGTCACCGACGGCCCAGGTAGCCAGGAGTGCACAGTTGGCAAATCCCTGAAGTTGTTAGCAAGAAGAAATTCAAAAGATTGTTCTTCAAACTTACAGAGAAGCCGTTCAAAAATGCTGGTAGGTCAGTCCATGTCTCTCCGTGATGAACATAACCATTGGGACCAGCTCCAAGGACTAAAGCCAAGGAGAGAGTGATGATAATCAAGAAGAGGAAAATCTTAATCAGAGATGTCACATATTCAAACCAGGCGAATACCGTGTTTGGTAGGAGAAAGATGACGAGACAGGCGAACATGAAGATGCTGACTACAAGACTCGTTAGTTAGATTCAAAGGGGCTGATAAGTGAAACTTACGTGATGCAGCCAAAGGAAACGAGCCTTCAGACCAATATCCTACCAAGATATGGAAGAAACCAGCCTCAGCAGAAACAATGGCAGTCCAACCTATGACCAGTCAGAACACATGTCTTAAAATCAAGTTCAGGGGCAACGAACCAAGCCACTCGGCGAAACCTGCTCCAAAAGCCAGAGCGGGATCAACCCAACGATCAGCGTAGTCGATATAGTTTCCCGAAACAGGGAACGCAATGGTCATTTCTGATAACGATTGTAGAACAGCCCAGACACATGAGCACACCATGAAATATGCAATCACCATGTTTCCTGGACCGCCAGTCGCGAGGGCTTTTCCGGTAGCGATGAAGACGCCCGAGCCGATATTGGAACCCAGAGCAATGATCTTGAAAAGGAGACGTTAGCATTGCGAGTGATTTTGGTTTATGGGACTTACATGGACTTGTCTTGGTGTAAAGGATCGATGGAATTGTCCATGTTTGCCCTCTTGCATTTCAATAGCTTGAACTTCATCAATGCTTCGTGAAGCTGCGAGGTCAAGACCATCGTCTTTCGTCATCGAACCGCGGGACTTTTCTGTCATCCCAGCTGGAATGTTGACATCGTGAATACTTTCTCGACGCATGATGAAGGAGAATCTCTCAAAACGAGTTCAAGTTTAGTTAAGCTGTTGTATGGAGATGAGAACCCTGGAGTGGGAGCTTGCTGGGATCCATCTTTTCTGCACGACGGCGATCGTACGTCTTTATACTGTTTTCTTCATACGTGATGGAGCTGTCTCATAATACTAGGGGGGCGAAAGAGTCTGGGGAAATTGTACCAACATGGCGATCGTACCGTGATTGGATTCTACGGGAAAGTATCCGCGAGGGCTATCTCTATATCAAGCATCAAGGCAGGAGGATGAAAGAAAAACATGCTATCAAAACGCTATCAGGCATTTATGACACCCACTGAGTGTTTAAAGTTACCCCGGATTCTACCCCAGCTTCGACTAGGCCAGAACGAGCTAGCTTTCCATCGTCTATCAGTCGAGACTCGTTGTGAGGGTTGTGAACCATTGGTTAGAAGGCATTCTATGTGATAACAGTTGGGTTTAGTCTCTTCGTGGCGCTACGGGTGTTCTTCCGATGATGAAATCGCTGCGCCATATCTTGATCTTATCATGGGTATCTGCCGATAGTGAGGAGGAGCTGGGCCGAGCTAGGCATGGTATCAGTGAGTTGAGCGATAAGCCACTTTTGAGGTGAATAAGGAAGGGTACCGCGAGGGGTGAATCGGGGAAAATGGCGAGAGTCAGTTGGCGTCTATTGCCGTGAGCCAATTCCATAACGGTACCCAACGTCTTCGATCCAGTATCTGATAACTCAACTGTGTTTAGGCAAGTGTTATCAAGTTTCTTGATATAAAGAGGCAATCCTTTTCTTATCATGTCTACGACTCGGCGAGACTTTAAAGTATGATAGCGTCGACTGTCATGAGGCATTCCGTATCTCATCGGCGCGGGGTCCCGATGTCTTGCATCCCCTGTCATGCCTGCCATCAGGTGCTGTATAGGAGGCTCTGATACTTCATGTCATTAGAGGGCGGTTCGCGTCCCGGTGGCGTTCTGCAGCAAGCCTAGACCAACCCAATGGGCTGGGACTCTTTCTGATACGATCATTTCCACGTTGCATGACGCCCACGTGTCAAACAGTCACAATCATCTTCCTCCAGCATATGTACAACATACCACGTGATTGAAATCCTTTCTATCCTTCGTGGATTCTGTTCTCATTGAATCAGTCGAATTATTTGCATTGCATTGTTCCAGTCAAAACCTATGAGCTGAGTCCTGGCAACATCAGTGTTTATGATAGTCTCATGCAATCGAGTTCTCGAACGGCGACTTATCTCAGGTCAAATACATCACGACGGAGTATTTGATACGTTAAGTTTAGCTCGGATTTAATGGTGACTTGAACGGCAAGATCGGCCACCTTCAAGCACAGAGAGCACGAGTGGTGGTGACGGATATCTCTATCTGATTTTCTCCAGCGCCCAACTCTAACGGACCAGACAGAAATACCATAGAAATGCTCTCCAAAAGAAGCAAGTGTCTCTGAAATACGTCAAATATTCTTTCGACTGAGTAATAATTACAAAAGCATAGTGTAAGCGTCTGCGTGGCCAGCTAAGTCATCTTAAGCCACGTCGCGGAAACTTGCAACAAAGAGAACCATATACAACTTTAGATTATATATATCAGTATTGAATGGTATTTTGATTCTTTGAGGTTGCTACGGCCACGAAAGCATTGAGGCACTTGCTCTATGGCAAGTCTCTACTAGAGATAAAAGCACAAGATACTCGCGTCCTTGAGAGGCTGCTCATATTTTCAAAATGCAGTTCTGTGTCATGGGGATACAGCGTTTAGACAGGTTTCGGGGATCTGTTTTAAGGATGGTCTTACGAGGGTCTTTGAAGACCTAGTTTAATTATGAAGTTAAAAGTCCCGCCAGGCTATCAAACAGCTGCGGATATCTATTGTTTGATATATTGATGGCCGTATCTGCCTAAGCGTGCATATTCCGACTTTGAGTCTTTGACAAGCCGGTCATATAGTCATTGTCAATGTGTTGCGTAATACATCTCGTTGGGGTATTGCGAGATTTTGATTCTCATTCGAGAGACTTCGAAGGGACTATTTCCAGAGACATAAACGTTGAGTATAAAGGAGTGGCTTGGAGAATGCGTGTCAGATCCTCGAAGCGCAATCAACAACGAAATCGCCAACGATGACGAACAGTCCCCTCTATGTCTACGGACTACTACTGTATTGGATGCTGAAAAGTCGTGACTCTCGAACCATCTACTATAGGATATACTTATATCCCTCCTCACCTCAGTCGGAGGGAAACAGGTATTAACTTACACAGGATTGGAGAAATAAAGCCAAGTTCATGGCCAATCAAGTGTGCGTCCCTAAAGAACAATTCCATTGTTCTGCCAGAATCCCGGCGTGCTGGGCATGAGATGTGACAGCGAAATCACTTCCCTTACCCTGGAACAGCCTTCCGCCTTGGCCATGCACAATATCTGGCCAAGACACCAGCATCATCCAAAGATAGAACAGCCAGCTCTCTGCCACCTCTTAATAATAGACACTTAACTTAGCGATATACTGACAGCTCGAGGACACACATTTTTACCTCAATTGCCCTGCAACCCAATAC